CCCCAAATTTTCTTTCCCCTTTTGGCATCATAAAAAGAATATATGCAAGTAAGCGCAAAAAGAAGTCCATCAAAGTTAACTCATGACACATGTGTGCACACATCATAGCTAAAAATAGAGCACAAGAGTATAGCATGCATAGAAAAAGACTAAGATGCTCATTAATTAATAAGAGAAGAAAACAGAGGCAGTAGCACCATTGTTGCAAAACATCCACATAAAAAACAAACTTAAAGTACCAGTCATAACAACAACAAGTCAAAAGGGACACTAGGGTTAAGACAAACATCGTTAAACTAGACACTGAGAAGGAAACTGTTTAAGGGGCACTGGAAGAGGGAGGGAAGGATGAGGAGGCAAGGGCTTTGAGAAGAATATCCACTCGAGCATTTGCAAACCGCTGCTCATTTATCAGCTTCTCTTTCAGGTCATCAACCTATTTCCTCAGGTCTGCATTTTCATTAGTCAAGCGGGTAACCTCTACGTCTTGTGCACTGCTAGAACCAGGTTCCTCCTAGGCTTGACTGAGCTGCCCCTCAAGAATGGCATTCCTAGCCTTCAACCTCCTTATTTCCTCGTTAGTAGCATTCTGAGCATCAATTAACTGAGAAATAGTTGAATTGTTGACAACACCCCCTTCTTGTCAATACACTCGCATTCCTCCAAGGTTGTATTTGAGAAAGTTTACTTTCGAGTTCCCACTGTTGCTCTTCCCAAAGGGACTTTGAAGAATTCAAACACTCTAGTGAGCAAGAACCCATAAGGCAAACCATGGTTCCTGTCCTTGAAGTCTGCCACCTTTTTCATATGTTCAATCATGATACCAGGCAGGTTGTTAGTAGTGTATGCATCCAAAGCTTCTATAAGGAACAGGTTCGCTTTTGAAGTAATGAAATGCCTTTATGCGCGTGGAAGCAGGACCTTATTCACCATTTCAAACATAAGCTGATACTCTGGAAGGAGGGCCTTCTTGTGCACCTGTTCCCCTTGATGAACAACCTCGGATTTTAGAATGACTTTTCTAAAGTCAATGGAACAAGTCCCTTCAACAGATGAGAGCCCCTCAATGGGCACACCCAAGATACTTCCTAGAACGGCCTCGTCCATCACAAAATCCACTCCATTAACCTTCAAGCAGATGTTGTCGTCTTCCACAGTAAACAGATCTGTGTAGAAACTGCGAACCTCCTCTTCATAAACCTTAGGACTCTGTATGGTAAATAGATGAGTCCACTTTTGAAACTCGTAGATTGCAAACAGCTGTCTCATGCCTGACAATTCAAGAATGTCAACATCAAACACTCTGCCCCATAGCACCTTTTTCTTCTTAAGGTTTTCTGTTCTCTCAACTTCAGACACATCCACTTTTACTTTCTTGGAGGAACCAGGTTCCTCCTTGTAACTTGCTTTCCTCTTCTGAGACTTCTTCACACTTTTCTCCTTCTTTTCAGACTTACTTTTCTCACCAGACTCCTCTCCTTCAACACTCGTTTCTTTGTCAAACTCCACCTCTTTCACTGGCGATCCTCTCTTGGGCTTTGTAGGCACAGATTTCTTAGAGTATTACGAATTTAGGAAGCAGGTTCCTCATTCATCCCTTCATCTTCAACATTCACAATGTTTGCCTGAGGCACATCCTCCTCATTCATTAACTTTCCCCCTTTCACCAGCCTCATTCTTTTCTTTTCCTCCTTGTTTCTCTTCAGAACACCCTCAAGAGCTTCTTTCTTCTGCTGCCTAGTAGTGGGTCTTTTAATAACGGGCTCTTTGGAAACTGCCCTACCACTTTTATCAGAAATGAAGCTTGTCACAGTCATATCATCATTGTCTTCCTCACTGTTATCATTCTCCTCTTCAAACAAGGGTCTCATCTGAGGAATAACCAAATCCTGTGGGACTACATCAAAGAGCAGGGTCAGTACTGACCAGGGGATCTTTTAAGACAAAATGCATGTTTGCCTTCTCAGCTTTCCTTTCTCAAATTGAGCCCAAAAATATCAAGGAAGCATTGAAAGATGCTGACTGGATTACTATTATGCAAGATGAACTTTATCAATTTGAGAGGAACAGTGTATGGCACCTGGTTCCTCGACCTTTAGATAGAACTGTTATAGGAACCAGATGGGTTTTCAGAAACAAGCTTGATGAGTTTGGAAATACAACAAGGAAAAAAGCCAGGTTAGTGGTTCAAGGCTATAATCAAGAGGAAGGTATTGACTATGATGAGACTTTTGCTCCAGTTGTACGAATGGAAGCCATCATAATTCTCTTTCCTTTGCATCTCATATGGAATTCAAATTGTTCCAAATGGATGTCAAGAGTGCATTTCTGAATGGGTATTTAAAGGAAGAAGTCTTTGTCAAACAACCACCTAGTTTTGACTGTCATGAGTATCCTGAAACATATTCAAAATCCACAAGGTACTATATGGTTTAAAGCAGGCTCCTCGTGCATGGTATGAAAGGTTGTCCACGTTCCTTCTGGGAAATGGCTTTCCAAGAGGGAAAATTGACAACACTCTCTTTTTAAAAAAATGAGGGAGGAATCTGCTGATGGTGCAAGTTTATGTTAACGACATTATCTTTGGTGCAACAAATGATTCCTTATATGAGGAGTTTGCCAAGCTTATGGAAAGCGAGTTTGAGATGAGCATGATAGGGGAACTGAACTTCTTCCTAGGTCTGCAAGTTAAGCAAACTCCTAAGGGAGCGATGATAAGTCAGCAAAAATATATTAAAGATCTTCTGAAGAGATTTGAGATGGAAAGTTCAAAAGGCATTGATACTCCTATTTCAACTGCCACTCGTTTGGACATGGATGAATCGGGTTCCCTTATGAATGAAATAATGTATAGAGGTATCATTGGTTCACTCTTGTATCTTACATCCAACAGACCTGATATTGTGTTCAGTGTGGGATTATGTGCTAGATTCCAATCAAGTTCAAAGGAATCCCATCTGAAAGCTGCAAACAGAATTCTGAGGTATCTCAAAGGAACATAGGACCTGGTCCTCTACTATCCTTCAGGTGACAATTTCGACATAGTTAGGTATGCTTATGCTCATTATGCTGGTTATCTGGTGGATAGAAAGAGCGCATCTGGGATGGCACATTTTCTGGGATCATGTTTGATTTCATGGGGTACAAAGAAACAAAACTATGTGGCTCTTTCTACTGCAGAAGATGAATATGTGGCAGTTGCTTCCTGTTGTGCTCAACTGTTGTAGATCAAGCAACAACTGAAAGATTTTGGTGTGTTTTCTGATTGTGTGCCATTACTGTGTGACAACACAAGTGCTTTCAACATGGCAAAGAACCCGGTTCAGTATAAGAGGACAAAGCACATCGATGTGCAACATCATTTTCTTAGGGATAATGTTGAAAAGGGTCTCATCTGCACGAAGTTTTGAAAAACAGAGGACCAGGTAGCTGATATCTTCACCAAAGCATTGAGCAGAGAGCACTTTGAAAAGAATCGATTGGCGTTGGGACTAATAAAATCAAACTGAGTGTCAGGTCCCTCAATGATTGGCTATGAAAGAAGGAATAGGTAAACTGCCAAAAAGTGTTTTTTGGCAATTTCTAACTCATTTCTATATAGTTACAGGTAAACATGCATGGAAACTACAGAGCAAAGAAGCAACTAATGATATTACATTTTGGTAAAAGGATGAGGCTCACATTTACAAAACTCAGTCAGGGAACCTGCTTACCTTGACGAAGGTTAGAGAGGATGTGAACTTTTGTGCTTCCAGTTGGACACTTGAATCTCATTGTGAGAAGACCCAGGTTCCTCTGAATGGGATCCATCGTTAGCATCAATGGAAGAGTGAGTGCCACTTCTCCGCTCAGCATCAGGAGTTCCTTGCACGACATCAGCAACTCTATATCAATAACTTCTTCATCTTCTTCATTAGATTCCTTGACCTGAATCATTAGATCTGCCTTTCGATTTTCCATATCAATAACTTCTCCAGGAACTTTTACTGCTCTCCATCCTGATCATTCTTATCATATGAATCTTTCCCAATTAAGTGGTGTGATTCATCAAAAATTACATGTATGTTTTCTTCAACACATTGAGTCTTTTTGTTGTAGACCTTGTATGCTTTGCTTTGTGAGGAATATCCAAGAAAGATTTCTTCATCACTTTTGGCATCAAATTTTCCCAGCGCTTCCTTACCATTATTGAGAATGAAATATTTGCAACCAAACGTTCTCAGGTGAGTCGAATTCATACGGGGTCTTGTTTAAGAAGGACCTGATTACACACCTGTTTATCAAATAGCAGGCATTGTTCACCGTCTCCGCCGAAAAGCTTTTTGGTACAACACTGTCAATTAGCATAGTCCTTGCCATGTCTTCAAGAGTCCTATTTTTCCTCTACACAACACCTTTTTGTTGGGGGTGTTCTGGGAGTTAAAAAATTATGACTTATACTATTTTCAGCATAGAATTTGTCGAATTTTGCATTGCCGAACTCTGTACCATGATCAGATCTTATGCTTACAACATTATGACTCATTTTCACTTGAATCTGCTTCATGAATGTAGCAAAGACTGGAAAAGTTTCATCTTTGGTTCTGAGGATTAAGGTTCATGTGAATCTGGAGTAGTCATCAACTATGACAAAATATATTTCTTTCCTCCTCTAATGGATACCCTGATAGGTCCACACAAATCCATATGAAGAAGATCTAGTGGCCTCGAGGTGCTTACTTCCTTTTTTGCCTTGAAGGAGGACCTGACTTGCCTTCCTCTCACACATGCATCACTAGGGATACTTATCGGGTGGATCAGGCAGTTATTTACTCTTAACGGTTCGGTTTATCGGTTATCGGCTTTTAAATATATTAATATACTAGCCACCCGATAAGATATCGGGCAGATTGTTATCGGTTTAGCTATTATCGGGTGGTGATCGGGTCACCCGATAATTAAAAACCTATTTGTACTAACTACTTTTATTATGGGACCGAACTAAAATTAAATAAAAGGGCTACTAGAAACACCAAGTATAATGTTACAGTTCAGCTAGCTAGTTTGTTGGTCTTGGTCACAGAATGACAGAATCACAATTCATAAAAGTTGTGTAGAACCTTGTGAATGTTCTAGCTAACAAAGTATAATATTACACAGACAAATCGAATGAACAAGCAGACTAATCAACTGCAATCTAAATGATATTACTGTTAACGAAGGGTGTAGAACCTTGTGAATATTCTAAGAAAATAATTACAGTAAAATCACATTAGTTTTGTGTCTTAAGTTTAGTAATATATGGATAAAAATAAATTATATATATATATATTCTCAACGGGTTAACGGATTATCCGTTAAGAAAATTGAATAATACGCCCCCAAATCGATAAGCCGTTAATAAAAAAATTTTAATATGTTTCCCATCCGTTAAACCGTTAACCCGATACCAATAAGCCATTAAGCCACTTTTGCAGTTCGGTTTCGGTTCGGTTTTGAACACCCCTATGCATCACACATCTTGTGATCATTGAACCTTGACTTAGACAGCCCACGAACCAGGTCCTTCTTAACCAGCTTGTTCAGCAGCGAGAAGCTTGCATGTCCCAATCTTCTGTGCCACAACTTAGCATCATCATCAACAACACTCAAACATGTAAGATCCCCACTGTTCAAGGACTCAAAATCAGCAACGTAGATGTTTTTGAATCTTTTGCCATTAGAACCACTTCACCAGTCACAAGATTGGTGACTGTGCAAGTCTTCGATAAGAATTCAACTTTGTTTCCTTTGTCACAGATTTGAGAGACACTCAGTAGGCTGTATTTCAGGCCATTCACATAGTACACATTCTCAATTGAGTGAGTGAGTGTCTTCCCAACTCTTTCAACTCCCAGAATGTATCTCCTTTTTCCATTCCCAAAGGACACACTCCCACCTTACAGAGCTTTGAGTGAAAGAAAATCATCAGTGCTTCCAGTCATATGCTTAGAGCAGCCGCTATCCAAATACCATCTTTGACTGCTTCCTTCCACTTCTCCCTTATCGTCATCATCATCTTCATCCTCGTCAGATTTTGCCATCTGGGCAAAGATGGAGTCATATTCAGATGCTTCTCTTTCAATGGCCATTATGGAGGTGTCGCCTTGTTCATCATCTCCCTCAGATTCACTGGAGGAATCTCCCCATGCATCAAGAGCTTGTTTCACAACATTGTCAGCGACATTTTTTCTCTCTGTCAGGAACCAGGTTCCTCTTGGGTGTTTTTTCTATTTTGTGCTTATACTGGTCTTTCTTGTGGAGAGGACAATCTTTGATGAAATATCCTGGCTTCCGCATTTATGACAAAAGTCATAGACTTTTGGTCTGATGGAGCTTCCCTTTTTCGGAATGCCTCTATTTCTGCGAACCATTTTCTGAAATATCCTTGTCAAATAGGCCATGTCAGCATCCTCACCACTTGAGTAATTATTGTCTTCCTTGAGGACTAGGTTCTCTTCTTTCATGGTCCTTCTTTTTCTTCATTTCATAGGTCTTTAGATTTCTAATAAGCTCGTCAAAGGTCAGCTTTTACAAATATTTTGCCTCTGTGATAGCATTGACTTTACTCTCCCAAGAACCAGGTAATATACTGAGTATTTTCCTGACTAGTTTGTTCCTTGGAATGATCTCTCCTAGGGAGTGGAGCTCATTGATGATGGAGGTGATTCGAGTATGCATGTCCTGAATGGACTCATCATCCTTCATCCTAAAGAGTTCATACTCAGTAGTGAGCATGTCGATCTTTGACTGCTTGACTTGAGTTGTTCCTTCATGTGCGGTTTTGAGAGCCTTCCAGATCTCCTTGGCAGATTGACAAGCTGAAATTCTGTTATACTCGTCTGGTCTAATACCATAGATGAGGATCTTTTATGCTCAGAAGTTTTTCTCTATAGCTTTGCGGTCGGCATCGTTGTACTCCTTCCTTGTCTTTAGAATTGTCACTGCTGGCTCGTCAATGGTCTTCATATGGACGAATAGTTCATCGCAGATGACATCCCAAAGCTCTGAATCTTCAGCCATGATAAAATCATGCATCCTTGCCTTCCATTATCCGTAGTATTGTCCATTGAATCTTGGTGGTATGTAGATTGATTGACCTTCTTCAAAGTTTGGTGGAGCAGCCATATGGATCCTTTCTAGATGTTAGCCTTATAGAAATAGCCTTTTCTGATATCAATTGATGTAAACTAAGAGCCCACCAAACTGTATAGAGAACCTGGTTCTCTATCAGTTCTCACAAAACACACACACACAGTTGTAAGCAAATGACAACAGTATTTTACGTGGAAAACTCCCAGCTCACGGGATTAAAAATAACGACCTACACTCCTAGGATTTCAACTTCACTAACCGAGAAAACTTTAGATTATAACCTATTATAATATAGGAATTAAACTCTTAATCCCTCACCTACTTACAATAACTCTATTGCAAGCCTCTTTGTAATAACTCTATTATAAAGCTCACCACTTAACTAACTCTACCTAAACACAAATACACGGTTTATAGTTTTATAGAAGATATCCTACAAAATACTTCTAACTAAGTTGAGTAGGAATTACAAGTAAATAACACTAAAAAGACACAACAATACTAAGGACACACGATAAACTCAATACTGGGATCTGGTCCTTTGTTCTGTTGCTACTTTATTCTTTAAGTCTTTTAGTCAATGAAAGGCGACATCACACTTGAGAGAGAGATTTAATGATTTAGGATTTGTAAGTGTGTGTTTTCCCTCGCCTCGTGTTGGTAATATATAAGTGAGGTCATTGGGATGATGCAAGTAAGTATCCAGTACAGGCATGCTCCATAAAGTGACTATTGCATTGTTGCGTGTGCAGAGAAATAGTGCAACGACTTTAACAGTTGTAGGAAATTGACTTGTACTGTCACCGGAGGAACTGATAGCCATCTGTTCCCTCTGCCATTTCTTTGACTGATCATGTTGGAACTTGTGCCAGAAATATGACTTGTTGTTCTGAGCACTTTGAGGTTGTGTAACAGATTCCGTATCTGGTTTTCATATGAAGTTTGTTAAATCATCAAAATACAAAAGGCACCTAACTTATCACAATATGTTCAGTTAATAATGTGATTGGATATTTAGTTTAGTCAGGTATATAATTAAGGTGTAATGTACTATTTCTCCTTCCTAGTAAAAGCTACATTATTGGATTAAAACATAAACATTACAAAGTTGGCC